GTTAAGATTTGCAATTATGAAAAATCACCCCAGCCAGCAGTTAGAAAAATCAGGAAGTGTTGTATTCGATCTGGTGAGCGCCTAGTGCCCGAGGAAAATCTGTGGCCCTGGGAAAGAAGAGACTTGCCCTTTGTCATGATCCATCTCCTGCACAGCTGCTTTGGATTTTTCTAAAATAAAAACCCAGATCATGATAGCTCCCACACTTAAAATCTCTCAGGATGAAACCCAAACTCCTCAGGACCTTCCAGGATTTGTTCTCTCACATCTCTGAATTCGCTCTTGCCACCCAATCCCCACCTGTTGTCAAGTTCCCCTAACACACCATTCTGCTTCAGTGTACAGGCCTCTGCTCATACAAAGAAAAGCAGCCCTGACCTCTAAGGCCTGGCTCCTGGTACAGGACCAGCTCATGATGTTGTTGGAAGTTGGCTGGTGCACCCAGAAAGGCCACCCTGTTCTCCTTTTGGACATAAACAATCTCACAGAACACCAAGACAAGGGCCCTCTGCAACAGCAATGATGTGAGATGAAACAAGTCCACTTCATAATTTTGTCTAAGCACAGACAAAAGGCCACCGTGCCACTCATGAAATACCAAACATCTGAGTGACTGTGCCTTCTTTACACATTACAATTTTAGCTCTACTCTAGCCAAACCTCCTTCTAGAAAAGATTCAATGTGCTATGTGAAGATAGAAATGTCCCCACCTCCTGTTAGTACTCAGTTCAGAGCAAGTCCCTGCTCCAGTGAACTCTCCTCCATATTCCCCAGCCAAAGCCCTAATCCTAAAAGGTCCCACCCCCTTTTACTGATATATACCCCATATATCAGTAACCCCATAGTTCCTCCTGGTGTGAGTTTTCCCTCGTTGCCACAAGTAAAACACTCAACTTCTTTAACTACAGGTGTGCTTCTGGTGGTCTTTACTGGAGGACACTGACAACTATAATGGGAGGAAAGGATAGTTAAGCTTCTTGGAGGGAAGTTAATGGAGTTTCTACCTGAAGGTATCCACTTTCTATATTAAGCAATGGCTGGCATTATCTTTACAAGGAAGGTGGCATGGGGTAAATCAGAAGTTTAGGGAAAGTGGAAAATGGATGAACTGAGTGTTCTGGAGAAAGAGACAGCAAGTTGACCAGAGAAATGTACCAGAATTGTAAGGCTCTATTAAGGGCACAGGTGAGGCTGAGTGACATGAATTCACAGCAGTACCAAGCTGCCCTGTTGTGTGATTTCTATCACCAGTATTCAAGGTGAAAATGGATAATTTGATTCAATCAGGGTTTTGGGTCTACTAGGATCAAAGGGCAAGGGAGATAAAAAATACTGTCAAGAGAATTACTGAGTGATGGACTATGAACTCTAAGATCAACTGAGAGGGAACAGCAGAGAGGGAGGATACAGAAAGCCATCAAGGTTCTAAGGAAAAATAAGCACAGCAAAAATAACTGACCAAGCAACCTAGACAAAACCAGGTTGGAGAGTGTTGCACTGGTCATCTGTGAGGCAGTGAAGCATCAGGATGAAAATCCAGGGTATCATGTTGGGAACAGGTGACAGAATCTGATAAGAGGTAATCACTGCAAACAAGGCATTCAAAAAAGTGAGCGTCTGTGTGTAAGTTGTAGCATCCACATGAACACTGAGGTCATCTAGGATATCAAAAACTATGGTAGATACAAAAACTTTGGGCCAGGCACCCAAGTATTCAATGAATTTGGTGAATAACCAGAAGGTAGACAACAACAATGCAAAGTGGTTCAGCTGGGTACAATGGATCTCAAAGAAACAGGATGGAGAACAAACAGCTGAGAGGACACAAATTTCAAACCACCTGATCCTGAGATATGCAGGCTATAAAAGAACAGAGGCACCACTTGAGAGGACTTCAAGAAAAGGATAACCCTAGGGAAGCATCAGGGTTAAGGCAAAGGGAGGGAGGGAATGGCTAAGGTAGGCATCCTCAAACTGCAGGCCACATTGGGGTGTTTTTTGCCTGTTTGTTTTTTTACTTCAAAATAAGATATGTGTAGTGTGCATAGGAATTTGTTCATAGTTTTTTTTAAACTATAATCCGGCCCTCCAATGGTCTGAGGGACAGTGAACTGGCCCCCTGTTTAAAAAGTTTGAGGACCCCTGGGCTAAGAAGAGCTGAGAAAATAGAAGCACTTGTGGATTAAGGAATGGTGATTTCAGAGGACAAAGGGTTTGCTGGGAGGGCTGGGTCACAGGTAAACAGAAGCAGGGAAAATTGACTTAGGGGCATAACATGAATGGCGCAGTAAGAAGAGAGGTTGGGAGAGCCTTGGTAAGTAATGAGTAAGCATAAACCTAATATATCCCATCATAAAAGTTCTGATAGTACATGTCCATGTTGGTGATGATCATGACAATGGTTTGATGGCAACAGGGATAGTGAAGATGACAGAAACCACCAATATTGAGCATCTACTGTAGGCCAAGCATGCTGGAACCACTCCACATATAACCTTCACAAGAACCCTCTGAGATAACATTCCCATTATTCCTAGAAGGGCTCTGAACTAAAGGAGAAAGCAAACTCAAATAGAAGTAACAGAATTGTAGGTGCCCTGGGAGGCTGATTTTTTAAATGTCATTTTAGGGATTTCATGGCTGTAACTCACTCAGGGCAAGCAGGGAACAGCCTGACCCACAGCTACTACCATCCAGCAACTTCAACCAAATACTACTCAAAAAGGAGGGAAATCAAAACTAGCAATAATACTTTACTGAGGGCTTCACTTTCTGCCAGACACTAACTGCTTTGAGTCAATTATCTCATTTGATCCTCATTCAAAAAGTAGCCTACCCTTATTATCCCCATTTTTAAGAGGAAGAGACTGAGACAGAAAGAGGATGTAGTCTGTCCATAATTCACACAAGGAATCCTTATTTAATATTGTGACTTTTGGACAAGAATGTTTAATACATCACAGTGAATATGCAGTTCACAATACCACAGAATCTGAAAGACATTTAACTTCTCACCACGTCTTCTCACAATCTCTTTGCATGTTTTTTCAGAGAAGGGAATGCCAAGTACAAAAATGCTTTTATGAAATGCATCCAGGATGGCAGACACCTGTGGTCTTTATTATTCAAGACTTATCCCAGGAGATTCTGATTCATGAATCTAGAGTAGGTCTTGAACAACTATATGTTTTTTAAAAGCCCCACAGGCTATGCTGATGATCAGCTCAGGTTGAGGCCTACTGCTTTATATTCTTTGCAGTTCCAAACCCAACCTTTCCATGCTGTGTTGAGATGTTTGTAGATCCACAGGGCCTCAGAAAATGAAGCAGAGAAGATCTGAAATTACAAAAACTATTCAACAGAGTCAAGGAAAGGCATGCTTTAATTATACTATTTTGCTATACTTTTGTGTCTGAACTATTTTATAACCAATTTCCTTTTAAGTTTGCAAAAATATTACCAATAAATATTAAAATCAACCTAACGCTACTATGTTACTGAAAATTTTATTTCTCTCCAATAATTTTGATGGTACTTCAGATTCTCTTAGCAAATAGCAGTCAATATGGGAAACATTTCTAATTCAACAGTGCTACAGATGTGGCCAACAGCAAGTGAAAGCTGGAAAAGAAAAAGCTGAGTGTAATCCACTCACAAACTTCACCTGGGACTGTGTTAAGCTTTTTAAACTGATGTATTTACTTAATCAAACACCACTAACATCTACCACATGCCAGGCATTGCTCTAAATCCTCTACAAATATTAATCATTTCATCTCATAACCACCTACAAAATGGGCATTGTCACCCCCTTTACAGATCAGGAAACTGAGGCACAGAATGGATTCGTAACTAGCCCAATTTTACACAGCTAGTAAGGAACAATGTGACAGTGTGTGGCTTCAGAGCCCATGCTCTGAATCACTATGCTTAGTCTCCAAGAATCTAGAAAAAGTGCAAGGCTTAATTCAAAACTTTGGTTTTCCTCACTCTACAGTTCCTACATACCAGCTTACTTCTACAACCTGGAAGGCATTCTTCCAGTTTGTCTAACATACTTCATATTCCTCCCTTGCTCTCCCTGAACACTCTCCTACACCCCTATTTTTTTTTAAGACTTTTGTTCCCAGCCTAAATTTCACTGTCTAAATTATAAACTCTAATGGCATAGAGTAATTCTCAGCACTCAACACAGAATTGTAATTATGTATTTCATGGGTCATTTGTTTCCTCTTTTCCAACACCTGTGACTTCCAGTGCATCTGACACCATGTCCATCTTTTTATCACGTATTCCCCTCATGGAATCCATTACCAAACAGTCCAAAGTAAGGGAGTGACACAAAATAAGCTCTCAATAGTTTTTGCTTAATGAATATATAGATGGCATTCAAGTTTCTTGTTTTCTCTTTCCCTAACACCTCCCTGTGCTGGCAGCACCCTCACCACCACACTCCTAATAGTGGAAGCAGTAGGCTACCGGCTCAGCAAACAACTATAACCCTGGGACAGGTCATTTCCCCCTCAGTGGCCTGAGGATTAGGTGCACAACTGGGATCAAGACAACTCCCAATAGAATGTAAACTACAAAGGAGGCAGAACCTGTATTTCTCCTCTTCCTCGTACCTCAAGACTGCAGTCATTATTTGCTTCATATTTGTCTTTCCAGCAGGAGTTTGGCTCTGAGAAAGCCAAGACCACGTCTGCCTGGGTCAGGGCTGTACTCTCATTCACGGTACCCCAGGCTGGCAACACGCCTGCCAAACACCAGCAGCTCAGAAATTATCAGGTAAATAATGGCACACAACAGGAGCTCATAAAATTATCAGGTAAACAAACGACCCCCTGCTCTGTGCACTGCACAGGTGAGAAGCGAGGATCCCTGAGTTGCGTACCACGTCCCTTAGAGCGTCCAAGCATATTCTTGACACACAGGCCCGCCTCCCACCTAGGTCCCGGGCCCCCAGACGCCGGCCTCTCCCACCGCGCCCGGCACGCACCTCTTACACAGAGAAGCATCTTCACAGGTGCCGCGCACGCCCTCGTCGTCTGTGTCGCGGGACGAGGAGGAAGAACCGGGGGTGAAGGAGGGGGGCTCCCTCAGGCTACCGGCCATGGACGTGGAGGTTGTGGGGTGCCGTGCCCACAGGGGACATGAAGCGGGGTCTACAGGCGGCGGGGGCAGAAGCAAGCCTCAGGTAGAAAGCAGAAGAGAAGCGCTGGGCTACACCCGGCTCGGCTGGCGCGGCGTATTGACGCCACCCACTACAGCTGCCCAGCAGTCTTCGCACTTATTGGCGCCTCTGCCGTGACGCTCGTTGGAAAATTTCCCCGCCCTCTCAGCCTGCGGAGGCGCTCATTGGGCGATTCTTTTGGCCCTGCCCACAAAGCCCGGAATTTCTCCAGAGGTGGCTGGGGGGAAAGGAAACGGAAATGACGCAAAGAAAACCGCAATCCTTTCTGGGAAGTGTAGTCTTGGGTGTTTGGGGAGGTCGCACGGTCACCCGGGTGAAATTTGACAACTAGAATTAACTGAGGGCTGAAGAGCTAGGTGGATTCTCAACATTGGCGCAAAAGGTAGAGAATCCAGCCAGAAAAGCAAGTTTAAGTTCTTACATTCAGTCAAGGCTCAGTTGTCATTCAACAATTTAACAAAAACTTTTTTGAGGCTGACACTATGTCAAGGACTGTGCTACAGGCCTTGCATACGTAATTGCCTTTGAAATCTTGGAGGGCCTCGAATGCCCAAACGACAAGTTCCCCTCCTTCTCTGCTCCCACAGGTAAAATCCCCTAGCTAAATGGCCTGCCCTTATTACAAGAACCAGACACAGTGTCTATCCCCAGCCAGTGGGTTTCAGTTTCCTGCCAGCTAAAGGAGGAATTATTTAGACATGCCAATCACACCGTCTTGTGGGAACCAGAGGTCACCCTGCCCAGTCTCTGCATGTTCACTCTGTTCTGGAGTGCAACCCCATGTGTCCCTGCATAGTGTGCAGTGTCCTCCACCCATGGCCTGTGAGTATATGTAAACTACTGTTGATCGCATCTCTCCGGTGTCAGGTCTTGTGCGCTCGTCCATCCCCATATCTCTACAGTGGGAATCCCTAAGAAAACAATTGGCATCACAATCAGCATGGCTGGTCCTTGACTGGGGATACCTGGGTCAGCTTTAACTAACTATTCCGTTGCTAATTAACTGGTTTAATAAGGCAGCAGTGACCGTGACTGCCGCTTGGTGGCCAGGTTGCGCCTCAGCTAATGAGTTCTGTTATCTCAGTTAGATGTGGTCATCTCTTCCCACCCTACTGTTAATTGACCATATCCTGGTGTGAGGTGCCATCAGATGTGGCCTGTGTCAGACAGGTATTCTCTGAGGTTTCCACCTGGGGGCAGCAACAACACAACATCTTATCTGGTGGGAGCTTGAGTTCTGCTCACTGGGAGTCAGGTGACAGCTCTTTGCTCACTGTGTCTAACCTGATGACTATCACTGGCTGCTTGGGGCAGCCATACAGACATGGTTTGGGAAAATAAACCCCCAGCTCAGTCGTGGGGACAACCTTTGTGTTTGTGGAGTGGAAGGAGGCCATCGCCCTGGGGAATATTTTAGAATGGCTCCCTGGTTGCCTCCTAACAGTTGTTGTTCAGGCAAGGGTAGTGATGTTTGCTGTGCTGCAGCTTCCCTTGCTGCTGTCCGGTGCTCTCCTAACCCCTAAGAGGTGCATATCCATGGCAGTCAGTGGCCCAGACACTGATGATACAAACAAAACAAAACAAAACAAACAGTCACAGGGAGGGGCATTTGCTATTCAACTGCTTTCCTAATGCAAAAACCCCAAGCCAACACACTGGGGCTGTGCTTAGCACAGGATGCCAAAGAACTAAACTCATGATCAAGGGGCTTGATGGCTCTCACTTGGACCACAGACAAAATGAACTCCCTGGATGTGAATCCCAACCCTGGAGAGAAGCACTGGCATTCCCTAGAGGAGGAGGACGGCACCCTACAGGGCTGGCCGCTGGCTTCCTTTCCACATGACCACCCAGAAGATCCATAGAGCATGTGATCTGATGGAGACAAAAAAAAAATCTGTGACTTGAGGAAATTTCCTTGGGTTGGGGGAAGACCCTTAAATACTTGAGAATTCCACTACATTTAAAAGAGGTAAATATTTTGCTGTTATAGTTTTGGCTAATGTGCTCTTGACTATCAAAGGCCTCTCAGTCATGATTTGCCTTCACCTCCAAAGGTAAATAGTGCATCTCTTCCTTGCTGCCTACAGTCTACCCAGACAGCTCTGCCATCCCATGCAATCTTTGCAGGCAGGATCTTAACTGCATCTACCTTTCTCCTGGAATACAACCATGAGATTACATTGATGACATTCTCCTTTGGAGGAAATTTTTTGGCATGCTATTTTTATTTGCATGTCCAACATCTTTTAGTCTTTTTGGGTTCTGAAAGCAATGTATTTCTTGTTGACAAATTTTACCTTAACCCATTTATGTCATTACTTGCAAATTAGCCCACCTTGGGTAGGGTCCCCTCCAACAAAAGGCTCTAGAATTTGTCCAAATTAAAAGCCGTGGGCTCTCCCATTGGTGCCCTCATGACTCACTCAGTGAAGAGGCAGGAATGGAACCAGTAAGATTAGTAAAGAGTCAAACTTCTCTCATGCTTCCTGGAGTCTATGGACCATCCAGAGGACCACAGTTGTCCATGGGTTTCTGATGTAAGAAACTACTTTGCTTGGCCCTGAACTACCTACCATGAGAGTGGCAATCGCTGGCCAAACACTGAGCACTTCTGCAAACAGAAGCTCTTAGAGATCCCGAGCCTGTGACCCTCCACACTCAGCTGCCCATTATTCCTTATATCATGGAAGCAGCACCCCACAAGCTTGGCATGACTACCAGGATCTCCTCAGTATAAGATGGAGCCAAGCCTGGGCTCTCTGCCATATCCCACAAGATAGGAGTGGCCTTCTCATCTGACTTCAGTTCCTTGCCAGATGGCATGGTGCTAAAGGAGGTCATCCCCCTCCCAGACCCTTTGGCTACCTGGGGAATCCTTTGGGATCAACTGAGTGAACATCAATGAGACTTCATACACTTTATCAATGCCATTGCCACCATCATATATGATGGAGCTCAGTGAAATGTTGCTGTTTTCCATCCCTTACTCAGTTTATCCCTGATGAAAAATGGAGTCCAAGGGCCTACATAGTGGCCAAACTTTAGGCAGTGATCTTAGCACTGAATGTCTGTCTTAGTCCATTCAGGATGCTATAACAAAATACCATAAACTGGGCAGCTTATAAACAACAGAAATTTATTTCTCATAGTTCTGGAGGCTGGCAAATCCAAAATCAAGGTATATTTGGTGTCTGGTAAGGGCCTGCTTTCTGGCTTATAGATGGTGCCTTCTTGCTGTGTCCTCATGTGATGGAAGGAGTGAGTGATCTCTCTTGGGTCTTTATTACAAGGCCACTAATCCCATTCATGAGGGCTCTGCCCCTTGACCTAGTCACTTCCTAAAGGCCCCACTTCCTAATACCATCACCTTGGGAGTTAGGGTTTCAACATTTGAATTTTGGGAGAACACAACCATTCAAACCATAGCAATGCCCCAGCCAGCAAATAGCCTCATCTGCATATTGTTTTACAAACTCTTGGGCCATTGCCTAAGTGTTTCCCTCTGTGGGGTAAAGAACTCTGGGAATCTCTTGCCTCTGAGATACTCATGATACAAAACAAGGTGAAAGTTACCTCTTCATACACTAAGGCCATAGTGCAAGGCCTTACTAGGACACTCCTTATCCTCTTTGGACTCCCAGAAATTACTGGTAGTGACCAAGGCACTCATGTCACTTCTCAGAATATAAAATGCTCCATGGGCTCATGGAGAGGCATTTAATGGAATTTCCATATATCCTATATGCCCCAAGCAGCTGGTGGAATGGAGAGGTATATGGTCTCCTCAAAAACTCCTATTTAAGTTCCAACGCAGCAAATACTCATCACCCCTCCTCTGCCCCCACCCATCTTTGCTCCCATGGATAAGGTCCTTTAATTGAACAACTCTCCTTATCGTGGGAACCACATACAGTTTATTCCCAGGTAGAGGGCTCCAATTTCCAGCCAGCTTGTTAAAGTATTCAAAAAAGCCAACCACCCCCTCCTACAGAAACCAAGGGTCTCCCCACCCTCTTCTTACTACAGAATCTGCCTTCAAGAGCACCTGATTTTTTACTCAGTTCCCTTGCAACCCCTGAGAGTCCCTGCATGGTGTGCAGTGTCCTTCTCTCCCGGATGCTAAGCATACAGGACTCATAAACTTCTGTCAATATCATCTGTCCAATGCTCTAATATACCGTTTGCTAGACGGTGGAAATACCTCCCTTACCAACACAGTGAAAAGGAGGTAAATAAAACACTTCTGATCCAAACTTTGTAAAGACATTAACCTGCTATGATTACGCTCCTGGTCTTGATCTTATTTGGGTCATAGTCTTTTGGGGATTTGCAAAAAGTAACATACAGTTCTAGGGCAGCCTATGTGTGCATAATTAGCAGAAAGTAAGGCTGCACATGCAAGGTCTTGAATGTCCCATTAATGTTTGGACTCCAAGAAATGGGAACTCCTAAAACACCATAAAGCAGGGAAGTAATATATGAGATGATCAGATTTTAGAAAGTTCACCCTCACAGCAATGTGGAGAATGGATGCAAGGGAGGGCAAGAATGGAACCAGTTATATCAGTAAGGAGTCTACTGCATCGGTCCACACATGAGACAGGAAGGGATGGACCACATCAGTGGGAACAGAGGAGAGAAATAAGGTCTGTTGGGTGGTTGACTGGATATGAAGTGTGTGTGTATGAGAGAGAGAGAGAGAGAGAGAGAGAGAGAGAGAGAGAGAGAAAGTGAAAGAGAGAGGTCAATCAGGATCCTGAGGTCTCTTGATTGGGTGATGAGAGGGTTGCAAGGGAGGATACTGAGTTCTTTCTTGGACATGTTAATTTTGATGGCCATTATGACAGAAGTGTCCAGAAACAACCAGTTAAGCCAGTGTGGAATCAGGAGTAGGGTGAGGTCAGATATGAAATTCAGAGGTCGCTGACATACCAGGGAAATCTGTCTCACAGTAGTGGATGCCCTGAAACTGCAAGGAAAGTGCAAAGATCCTGTTAGTTGAAGACAGTACTGTGAAGAACATTCACATTTAAGAAGTGATCAGAAGAAGAAGTAACAAGGAGCCTGGGCAAGAA